CAGAAGACGCGGCAGTGGCAAGCGAGGCAGTGAAGGTGGGAAGCTGTGGTACCGCACACCCCTCAAAGAGACGAGGAGGAGGCGCGGAAGAGGCGGAGGCAACAGCGAGGAGGTTACTCTCGATCTTCGAGAGAGCGGTCTCAAGAAGATCGATAGTAAGCTCAGTGGGGTGCTTCAGGAAAAGCGCGTCGCGGGCTGTGGCTAGACGGTCAGGGAGGCGAGTGACTAACCAGTGAATAGTGAGCCACATGGGGGGGGGTGCAAGGGCAAGCTGTTCCTCAGTGCAAGCGGCCTTGAAGCGAGCTTCAAGGGAGCGCAGGTGGGTAGCGAGGTCAGCGACAGTCTCAAAGGAGGCGAGGTCAGGGTAGATAAAGGGGACGAGGAGGTGGCTGAGGGAGGAAGAGGAGGGAGTGGAGTAGCGAGCAACAATAGCAGTGTAAAGGTCTGCAGCAGACTCGACCTGAGTGAAGTGGACAGCCTCAGTCGGCGGGAGAAGGTCGGTCAGGGCGAGGCAGGCAGCAGCGTCACGAGACTCCCACACGTCACGAGCGAGGAACCGGCGCTGGTACTCAGCCTCCTGCTCGGAAGTAGGCGGTGGGGTAGTGGGCAGCGGTGAAGGCTGCGGCGGGGCGGGCAGAGCACCGGACGCATGCGCAAACAGGTGCACGCCATCCTGGCACTGGCTCCTAAGGTGGCGCTGGGCCTGCGTCAGCCAGGTACTAAAGTCGATCGCACGCCCCTCAGGGTCGAAACGGAGCACGCGAGACGTCGCCATGAGGGGCGAGGACAAGTGATAGCGGCCGCCAGCCGCGAGAGGAGGAGGAGAGGGAGGTGAGTGCGGGGCGGGTGCGTGCAGGCGGGGCGCGCACTGGCCGGGCGCGGGGCGGCGGGGCGCGCTCCGGCGCGGCGCGCTGGCTGGCGTGGCGCGCGGGCGCGGCGCGCTGGCGGGCGGCTAAGCAGGGCGCGGCGCGCTGGCGTGCGCGCTGGCGGGGCCCGCTGGCGTGGCGCGCTGGCAGGCGCGCTAGCGGGCGCGCTGGCGTGCGTGTTGGCGGGCGCGCTAGCGAGCTCGCTGGCGGGCGCGCTGGCGGGCTGGCGTGCAAGCGGGCTGGCGCGCAGGCTGGCTGGCACGCTGGCGGGCTGGCGCGCTGGCTGGCTGGCGCGCTGGCGGGCTGGCGCGTTGGCTGGCTGGCGCGCAGGCTGCTGGCGCGCTGGCTGGCTGGCGCGCTGGCTGGCTGGCTGGCGCGCAGGCTGCTGGCGCGTTGGCTGGCTGGCGCGCTGGCTGGCTGGCGGGCGCGCTGGCTAAGGGCGGGGAGGGGAGGGGCACGCCGGCTGGGGCGTAGGGTAGGGCGCTGGCGGGCTGGCAGGGTGCAGTGGTAACCCTAGTGGTAGGGAAGGGCGGGCCTAGGACTAGGAGCGCTAACCTACTGCTGATACCATGTCAGAATGAGAACTACAGCGGAATGCGTTGTGTTGACAGAATTGGGGTACATCACCTAACCCTAACTAGTTGTACCCCATATAGCCCAACCCACTACAGGCTATAATATTTGACACACCTTCAATCTTGGCTCTGACTCTGTTTCTTGGCGGTCTACGCCCTCGTCTTCTGTTCTCGGCTCCAGTTGTGAGGCTGAGATCTACGCCACAGCCATGACTGCACAGGAGTTACGCTGGCTCACCTACCTGCCGACCGACTTGGGAGAGAGGCCTCGTTCTCCTCCAGTTATGTACGTCGACAACAAGGCAGTCATTGCCTTGTGTCAGGAGCACAGAGCGAAGCACATCGCTCTGCGTTACTTCCTGGCTCGAGAGTTGCAACAGCGGGGTCAGCTTCGTCTTGCTTACGTGGCCACTTGAGCCAACACTGCTAATATATTCACCAAGGCACTTTCGTCTGGTGATCATTAGTGCTTTTGTGCTTTGTTGGGCCTCGTGCCTACGTTTCCACACTTGCTGTATACTCTGCTTGTACTGTGATCTAAATGTATATACCTGTATGCTTGCTCTTGCTAGGTAGAGATCAGTGTACTGTTCTTGTTGCATATATACCTCTGCATGTGAACTGGCCTTGTGGCCTTTTTGCTTGTGCTCAGTGTGTGTGGTAACGTTGTGATCCACCCTGAGCTTGCTTTGCTTTTCTTGACTGGTCTTGTGACCTCTTGCTCTCCCCCACTTTGCCTATGGGGGTGTGTCGAACATATATATGTGTTATAGTTTTGGGTAGGCTGTAGTGGGGTAGATACTGTGGGGTACAACCCCTTAGGTTTCTTCCTTTTACCAAATCTATCGACATTGCAAGTCACTCATGCCTAAGTTTCCAAGACTGTGAAGGGCCTCTGACTCCCTGATGATGTGCTAGATGATGACTCAACAAAATCAGGGTCTGTGGCTATTATGTGTTAAATGTAGAAAGAGCTACGTGCTGGATATCGCAATGCTTGGAAGCAATGAGTGTACATCAAAATTTATTCATGATTCTAAAGTTATCTGATATGTCTCTTAAATGCACTCATATGATTTACAAATGCGAGTTTGTCACAAACTATGCAGATATGTTCACATTCACTCGTCGAGCCGTACTTTTCCAATTTCGTGCGCAAATGTGCGCAGAGACCGTGGGTGAGGGATTGGTTTCGTGGCACGATGGAATTTTACACCTGTGCGCTCGACGGACTTCATGGCTCCTGATTCTTCCAACTTCCCCCCGCTTGCCAGCAAGGAGACTGCGTGCACACGACAATTCACATCACGGCACCCAAACCACCGCTTGTGACTCAGCACAGCCAGAGACTTACGACCACGCCGCTACATTTCCATTCCACCCTTGCGTTGCGAGTGAGTCAATCAGCTCTTCAAAGCTGGCTTCTCAGCCTAGCTTGAAGTCCTGCTGTTTTTCACCCTAGTGCTACTTCCCTCGCTTTCAAGTGCTCGAACCAGGCTAGCAGTAGCATCTCGTCATACCATTGCTGCGCGATAACTCCTGATTTGCCACGCTTCCATCAAAGTGCATTTGAAGCACTATTGTTCCACGTATTCAGACTCCTCAGTTCAAAACTATGGGCGCGCCCACCAGGTTGTCTCTCCTATTCTCTCTCTGCGTTCTCTCGTTCGCGTTAGTGGCTTCCGCGCAATACAACAAGTGGGTTAAGGGCTTCACGGCTACCTACTACGCCAATCAGAACAGCCAGTACGGCTCGTGCGGATACGGTATCGCGCCCGGTTATACCGCGTCTATTTCCGCACCAATCTACGCGCGAGGCCAAGCATGCGGCGCGTGCATACGAGTGCGGTGCGTCAACAGCCCCCAATGCATCCCCGGAACGGTCTCCCCCACCGTTAAAATCACAAACCTCTGCCCCGCGGCGTCGTACGGCGGGTGGTGCGATGATGGGAAGCTGAGTGTGACTCTATCGAGCGACGTGTGGGCGCAAATCGCGCGTAATCCGTCCGTGGGGGTGGTTCCGGTGGAGGTGTCGCGCGTGCGTTGTCCGAGCGGCGGTGGCGTTATGTTCAACGTCACCGGCGATGGGTTCTATATCTCAGGTACGAATATGATGCTGCGGCGTCAATCTCTAGTGTAACAGGCGATGGTTTGGAATGGTAACGAGATGGCTTTATGTTAAATGTTACAGGCGATGGTTGCTACATCTCATATGCGAATATGGGATGACAATGCGGCGGTTTACTTTTAGGCAACAGTTATCACTACTCATGCATGAACGTGAGATGTAACATTTGCTCCCCCTTCCCCAGCTCTTCCGCGTAACTTGGGGGACAGGGGGACATTTGACGGGAAAATTTGGCGGACGGAGGCCCCCTATTTCCTCTCCTAAACCCGCCTACAGCTCTTACCCCCTGCATTGCAGCTCTCTGATCCGTTCCCCTTTCTCCCCCAGTCAGTTCCCCCTCCGCCAGCTCCTGCGCTCGCGTGAGCGGATTTCTTACTCCGCTACCCCACCTACAACTATCTGTGCACGCTCCCTTCCCCGTGATTCCCTCTTCCGCCAGTCCTTCCGCTCAATGTGGGCGGATCGGGGGACATCAAGCGGATGGATCTGTCGGTTGGCGGAGGGCCGTGGTTCATGATGAAGCGAAGCTTTGGCACTGTCTTCGAACTTGTCGGCCAGCCGTTAACCGGCAAACCGCTGTCGTTTCGCATCTGGCCCCGCGCTGAACCGAAACCCGTTATAGTGCGAAACGCGATTCCCCCGTATTGGACGGCGAGTAGCGTCTACAGGACTAAAATCAAGTTGTAACATGGGGACGCGGACGTGGCAGCATGCTATTGCGAAAATGCTCTCGAGGCGCCTCACATCGAGGTTACAGCTGCAGCAGTTAAATGTATTATTCGCTAATGTATGGTGCTTTAGAATGATTTGTTTAGGAAAGGGGCGACACTTTCAACGTGACACTTCCAATATGAAGCTGGGTGTAGTGTAGGTTCAAATGTAGAATGTAGCATATCATTCTCTACTAATGAGCTGGTGCCAAATTGCCTAAAGAGCACCCTACCTTACACGCGCGTCATCAGTACCAACGTATTGCTAGGCAATATTTACGACTTCGCTCACATTGTTTTCTTTTGCCTTGATTGTGCTATCTTTGGTCGCTCAACACTCTGGGTCACGTCCGTGACAGGATAAGGTGAGAATCGTTTCAGAACGGTGTCTAGCTCTGTGAAACGGTTCATGTGGGCGGCTGTACTGGTGGTGAGGTGATGGAAGGCCTTGCAGCAGAGAGATGGGATCATAGGAGAGCTCCATCCATCGCAGCTCCCAAGGAAGATGAAACTTTTAGGGCAATTTCCGAAAGTCCAATTTAATGTTGCAAACAATAGTTATTCTTACAAAGGATATCAGTTATGATTTCAAAGGAGACTCATGAACATTACAAATGCAAGGAATAAGTTGCTAGGGTGCTCGGGATCGTACCCTATGATATCCGGGCACCACAGCAACTCTTCCTGTTGTCCTAATAAGGGGGAAAGAAAGGGTCAAGTCCTACACCTGGAGGCAGGGTCTCTCTTGCAGGGTATCCTACAAACGGAGATGCTCAGAGAACTTCAATGGGGATGCAAGACGCCTCCTTTTGACGAGTGAGAGGAGAGAAGGCTTTCATGACGCGGTGTAGAACGGTGCGGGGAGACAGCTTTCCAGCCCAGCGCGGCTTCTCCGCGTTGCTCCCGCAATCACTGTCGGTGCTGTTGGTTGCGCTCGCCAAAGACATGCTTCCCGCCGTGTCAAATCGTTTTGTATCGGGAACATGGGTGGTGGCGTTTGTCTTGAAAACAGTGCTAACGGTAGACTTGGCTTCAGACGCGAAAATCGCGGCGCTGGTAGCGGTGCTTTCAGAATCAGCTTCCGCGATTCCCGGGGTGATCTGAGCGTCGGTGTGCGAAACAACAGCAGCCGTTCGTTTCTCCGACAGATCGACGGTCTCCATCACTTCCTGAGCCGCCGCTGCTACTGCTGGACGTACCCACGGATGCGCCAGAACCTCGTCAATTGTGAACCGTTCGTTCACATCCACGCGTAACATCCGACGGATGAGATCTTTCGCATCACCCGACACCTTCTTCCAGTCGTTCGATGCGAAATCCACCTTCTCGTCGAGGACCCGCTTCCCGCCCCTGAACAGCGGCCACTTTCCCGAAAGCATCGCGTAGAGAGTCACTCCAAGGCTCCAGATATCCGCGGATTCGTCGTACGCAACCCCCGCCATCACCTCGGGAGCCTCATACGGCTTGCTGCCGGCATACCCGCGAATCTGCTGCCACCACGGCACGTCCACAGCGAGCCCGAAATCTGCGAGCTTCGCGGTGTAAGCAAACGACACGTCGTCACTGGCGGCGGCGACGGCGGCGGCGCTGGAGGCGTTGGCTTTCTGAATCGGGCAGAGGAGAATGTTCTCTGGTTTAATGTCGCGGTGGAAAATGCTGCTGGCGTGGCACTGCTTCACGGCGCGCGCTACGGAGGTGAACACGTGGCGCGATTCCGCCTCGCTAAGTAGCGCGCCGGGCCGCTTCTGGATGAGCTCGAGAAGATCCCCGCCAGTGCACAGTTCCATTACAAGATAAAGTGAATCTTTGTCCCCGTATACGTCCTTGAGTGATACGACACTATCGGAGAAGCCAGAATCGCGTATCTTTTGGAGGATTTCGACTTCGCCGAGAGCTGCGAGGCGGGCCCTGCTGCTGCACTTGGTGAGGTCGATGTACTTAAGAGCGAAATGCTCGCCCGTCGCGCGCTCCTCGCAGCGCCACACTGTACCGTACTGACCCTCGCCTAGGAATTCCCCGAGCGTGTATCTGCTAGAGAGCACGCTGGATGGTGTAAGGTCGATCTTTGACTTGCTAGCCATACTGTTACGAGCGGTATTACCGCGGAAGCTGCGGCGCTAGCTAGAAGGGCTCAGAGTTGAACGGAAGAAAGCTCTTCAGGTAGTTTGGGAAAAGTAGTCGACTAAATTACTCTAAATGTCGAATGATGCAGACTTGAACTTGAGATTGAGGTAGATAGAAGCGTCGTCGAATGCTGGTTGCTGGTTCAGAGCAATGTTTGGATTGAGTGAGAGTTTGATGGTCGGTTATGAAGAGAGGGCGCCGAATATGTACCGATTTTGAACCAGCTGGCTCCTCTGCTTCCCCCAAACCACCGTCCAAACCGCGATTCGGTAGCTTCGGAGGAAGCCACTGATGACGGTGCTTGGGTGGGAGGGAGGGTCATGGGCTGGGTTGGGGGGCGATGTGTGTGAAAAGGACAGCCGCGACTCGAGTTTCCCCGCTTCTTGCAGTGCTGTGCTCCTTCCTTGGGGGGTGTGAGAATTGTCGCGCCGCGTTGTCTTTGTCTCATTATGTTTGTCGCTTTGCTATCAGACATGGAATAAATCGCCAGACGTTAGGCGACTCCGAATTCGTGAAGTGTAATACGTGTTTATATATTTCTCTACACCAGAATTGACAAATGACGGGTTTATATGCACCAGGTCGCTCCTTACAATATTTCCCCACTCTCTTGAGAACCACAAAGCCCCAAAACGCGTTTCTGCAACCCACCACACCATCACACCACCCCTGCATTCTAATCCTCGCTATAACAATTTCCTTCGTCTACAGAGTGTTTCTGTTCTTGTGTAAAGATCTAACGAAACCTGTACACATCTCTGTACCTGTTTCTCCACCTCCCTGCAGCTAACTCCTCTGCGAGATGCTCTTTAGGGTTTCTCTCTCTTAGTCTGCTTCCTTTTCCTGACCTGACCCTTAGTGGAAACGTCTTTAGTTCGTTTCTCCTCCCTTAGCTTTTCCGCGGCCACCATGACTGGAATCGCAGTAGGCCTCAACAAGGGTCACGTCGTGACCAAGAGGGAGATCTCGAAGCCCAAGACACGGGCGGTACGTTCATGCGATACGTCGTTATCTCAGCAGCTCCGGACTTGGCTTTCGTGCGATACGGCTATGCCTTAGTTCAACAATGTTTTTCAAATGTTGTAGCACATCAACCGACGTTATGAGGTTAACTTGATAACTGAAGACCGTAGGGGGAACGGGTTTAGCGTCTAGAAGTGCTGCTGATCGTAATCCTGTGGGTCCCTTCGTCGTGTTTCGCTCGCAATGTTGTTTTGCAGTCGAAGCGCGGAGCCTTCGTCCGCGGTCTGATTCGCGAGGTTGCGGGCTTCTCTCCCTATGAGAAGCGAATCATGGAGCTGCTCAAGGTACGGCCATCGTGATTATTTTATTCGATTACAAGGGGTATTCAGGTATTATTGCAACTGAGCAGTGTTATTGCAACATTGCACCTTGCTGCGGGCTTCTCTCCTTATGAGAAGCGGATCATGGAGCTGCTCAAGGTATGGGCATATCGATTAACTATTACTGCTATATATTGCACCTGAGCAGTGTTATTGTCCATTCCACTTTGAATCCATCCTTTATGCGTTCATTTCCGCTAGACTACAAGCACATTTTGATTCCCGGGCTTCGATCCGGCAGTGTAGCCGTCGACAGTAGCTTGGAAAGCGGAAGCGGCGGTCTGAGGAGCGGTGTAATGCGGTGCCGGGAGCGGTTGAAATAGGTGACTACGTAGGCCATCAGCAAAGCCTATATTGGCGTTGCAACGATTTGTCGCAGCTGTCGCGGTGATCTCAGGTTTCTTAGAGACACTTTCAACGGTCATGCCTCTCAGTTACCAGGATATTCGTCGGCGCCTTGATTGGTTCTCGGTTTTGCTGCAGCAGTTCGTGGATGACGTAGGCCCGACTCGTTAGGTTCAGACAGCTGCTCCCCCAAAGCCGGAGTGACTTTTGAGTCGAGTCAAAATGCACGTTGATTGGTTCTCGGTTTTGCTGCAGGGGTACGTGGAGGACGTAGGACATACTCGTTAGGTTTAGGCGTTTCCTAAGCCGAAGCCGAATCACTGCGAAGTTGTCGAGTCGCAAGTGTCAGGCGGCAAGGCAGGCATGCGTAGAATCAGGGTATGGGTTGGGATTGACGAAAGCCGGACTATCTACACATTGTGCAGCTTGTCAGTTTCAACGCCGTGCTTCGCATAGCCTAATCAGGCGGATGTGCGTCCTTTCGTCTGTGCTAAACTTCATGACTAGGCAGCCGGGTATTCCTTGGGCCTGCGTTTCTTCGGCATTGTTGTTTCCCGTATGATAGCCGTCGCCCATCCTCTGCCAAGGTGGTCGGAAAGCTCTCAGCGTCGTTGGTTAATGATTCTTGGTGTTTTGGCCGCCGAGTCGTTCCCGTTTACCCGGATTACTGTGCACGCCCCCTCACCAAACCTTCCTTTAACGCTCTTCTCTTCCCTCCGCCCCCGCCATCTTCCCTCCCTTCCCTCCGTCCGCTCCCCATCCGCACCCCCCCTCTCCCCGCCCACCCTTTTTCTCTCCCACAACCTCTCTTTCTCCCACCCATCCTCTGTTTTCCCGCCCACCCCACTAACACTTCCCCCCCCCCCGCGCAAGTCGGTAAGGTCGTTACATTGAAGCGGGCGAAGCGGAAGCTGGGCACGTACCACCGCGCCAATGTGATTTCTGAGTCAAGCTTAAAACCCCCCCCCCCCCCCCCCCCCCCGCGCTCAACCCCCTTCCCCCTCCCGCTTCCCTCCCCCCCACCCCCCTTCCCCCCCGCGCCCCCTTTCCCCCCCACACAGGTCGGCAAGGACAAGCGCGCTCTGAAGCTGGCAAAGCGGAAGCTGGGCACCCACCGCCGCGCCAAGGTGAAGCGCGAGGAGATGCAGACTGCTCTGCGCAAGATGAGGTGAGATGTTAATGAGTGTAAGCGCCTATGTAGGCGTGACTGTAACGAGAGTCAGTGTGTCAGAAAATAAGCTGGGCACTCATCCCCAGGCCATGGTGGCCACTGCTCTGCACAATTTGAGGTGAGAATGCTGCCTGTAACAAAGGTGATTTTAACAAAGCAACCGCTTGTAGGAGGCATTTGATTATGATCTGCAAATCCTGTACCAAGGTCCAGTGTGGAAAATCGCTTTGTGATGATGCTATTTGCCACTGTCTTTCTCAATATGTTACATCCATCCCTTTGTTTCTTCCAGGTCCGCCACCAAGTAAAGACTTTCAAGTTGATTTTCCTAATGTCAAATGGAAGCCGCCTCAATACAAGCAGCACCAAGAACCTTTTGCATGAAGCCTGCTCAGCTGCATTGCGCGACCATCTTGTCCGTAGGCCATCTCATCAATCAAGTGTACATGTAGCTTGGGTGTTTCATGTCTGGCTTAATGCAAATTCGCTTATTCATTATGTGGTAAGCATGAAGACGAAATGGTGGTGATATGAAGCTGTCCACAAGCAGTGCCTCACCTGGAAATGTTCACATCGAGATTCACCTTTCTGAGAATGTTGGTCTTGAACCTTCATTGCGAAGTCGTAGGTTCGTCGCTCTGTCCACCATCCGTAGGTGCCCCCTCATCTCGTTTCATCGCGCCTGCCATTCTTCGCCGACTCTTCGCCGATCCTCCTCCAGTTCGCCGATCGCCTTCACCGTCCGTCCTCCATTTGTCAATTACTGGTGCTGCTTACGACCCAGCGTATCGTCCCAGAGCGCCCTGTCGACTCTTTTTTGTTCCTCCATTCTTCAAGTCCACGTGTGAAGCACGTGTCAAACACGTGTCAAACCACAAGATGAATATCGTGCGTAACCGTATCGCGCGACTCGGATCCGCGTCCCTCCAGTCCACGTCAGATCCAGCTCTCCATGCCCGTCTGCTGACGTCACTCGCTGCCCCGCTCTCCGCCGCATCCTCCGCGGTATCGTCCGTCGCTGCGGCGGAAGCCGTAGGCGGAAGCGCAAGCACAGGCGCAGCCGCAGAGGTTCCCCCGAGCGCCACCGCTTCACCAGCCGCAGCAGCCGCGGCGGGCGCAGCGGCGGGCGGAGCGACGGGGGAGGCGGCGCAGGGGGGATCGCGCGGATCACGGAATCCGCTGCTACGGGCAGCGCAAGCCGTAATAGGCTCCGCCGTTCTGGGCGTTGGCGGAGGGTGCGCGTATGTGACCTATGGTACGTCGCGCATGCTTTCCCCTTCTCCTCTTTCCCCTCCTCCCCTTTCCCCTTCTCCCCTTTCCCCTTCTCTCCTTTCCTCGTTCTTTCCTTCCCCCTCCCCCCCCCCCCCCCCCCCCTCCCATTTCACTTCCTCTCACCCCACTTCCGCCGCTCCCGCTTCCTCCCCACCTCTCCCGTTTCCTTCCGCTCACAGCGTATGAGACCAAGGATGGGATTCAGTGAACCGAGGAGGAAAGTGGGTCTTTTGAAACGCCTCAGCGAATCCCCCTTCCGCCCATTGTCGTCCCCCATTGCCCTGCACAACCGCACACGCACACCCCGTCCCCAACAACGTATGAGACCAAGGATGTGATTCAGTGGACCAAAGAGGAGAGTGGGTCTTTTGAAACGCCTCAGCGAACCCCCCTTCCGCCCATTGTCGTCCCCCATTGCCCTGCACAATCGCACACGCACACCCCCCTCCCCACCCCATCAGCGTATGAAACCAAGAATGTGATTCAGTGGACCAAGAAGAAGAGACACCCACACCTTCCCCCTCCCCCCTTCCCCTTCCTCTTCCTCTCACTTCCCTTTCCCCGTCCCCCTCCTCCCGTTTCCCCACATCAGCGTATGAAACCAAGGATGTGATTCAGTGGACCAAAGAGAAAAGGGACTTGCACAATCTACCCTCCTTCCCCCCTTCCTCACTCCCCCACTCCTCTTCACTTTCCGTTCCCATGCCCTTCCCCCCTTCAGCGTATGAAACCAAGGATGTGATTCAGTGGACCAAAGAGAAGAGGGATTCATATGAAACGCCTCAGCGAACGCCCCTTCCCCCCATATTTTCCCATTGCCCTGCACAACCGCACACTTCCCTCCCCTCCCCTCACTTCCCTTTCTGCTACGCCCTCAAACCATCAGCGTATGAAACCAAGGATGTGATTCAGTGGACCAAAGAGAAGAGGGAGGAGATCCGCGAGAGACCTAAGGAGGTGAGAGGGAGAGGGGGTGAGTGAGGGAGGGAGTGAGTGAGTGAGTATGGGGGGAAGGGTTTGATTGTGTGTGTGTGTGTGGTTGTGTGTGTGTGTCCGTGCCCGTGTGCGCGCGCGTGTGTGTGTGTGAGTGTGTGTGTGTAATTTTCATTTTTATTTTTATTTTTCACTAAAAAATATGTCCAGTCGCCTGTTCTTCTTGTTAGTTGACTACAAAATCTGCTCAGAGGCCTGAGGTGTGTTTTGAGGCGCCTCAAAACGGCCTGAAGAAAAGAGCCATGTCCTTTTAATCTGGAACGTTCTCCCATATATCTATATCGTCTCATCCCGTTTTCCTTCTTATTATCCCACCCTTTCGTGCCTCCTTTTTTCGTCGCTCCCTCTCTCGTCCAACTTCCTCCCCATTCCTTGATTTGTGTGTGTGCGTGCGTGCGTGTGTGTGTGTGTGTGTGTGTGTGTGTGTGTGTGTGTGTGTGTGTGTGTGCGTGCTTTCTTGTGTGTACGTGCGTGCGTGCGTGTGCGTGTGTCTTCTTGTCGTTCTTTCTTTTGTAATCGCCAACAGGGGCTGGATGGATTGATTACCAAGGGGCTAAATGGTCAGTACATCAAACGGTGTGCTTCTTGTTTGGGGGGGGAGAGGGGGGGGGGGGTAGCGGGGGCGCAAGTGGGGGGAAGGGTGCATGTGGGGAGGGTGCCCATGTGGGGGGCAGAGTGCATGCGCGGGGGAAGGTGCATATGGCGGTGAGAGTGCGTGTGGGAAGGGGTTGCATGTCCCTCCTTTCCACCCTTTTACACCCGTTCCCCCCCGTTTCCACCCCTTTCATCCCTTTCCGCCCCTTTCTGTGTGCCATGCAGCTGCTGTGGACGTGGCCCAATGGTATGTCGACACGCGGGCAGACGTGGAAGAGCGCATTCATGTGAGTACATGCACGCTGACGTGTGCCGTGCGTGTGACATGCCTGTGCCGTGCGTGTGCCGTGCGTGTGCCGTGCGTGTGCCATGCATGTGCTCTGCGTGTGCGGTGTGTGTACGCGGGCAGACTTGGAAGAGCGCGTCCATTTGGGTACATGCATGCTTGCGTGTGCTCTGCGTGTGCTCTGCGTGTGCCTTGCATCGCATATGGCATTGCCCGCACTTTCTATTTCCTTTCCCAGTCTTCCCCCTTCTCTCTCCCTTCATCGTATTCCTTTCTCACACCTTTCTCCTTTCTCGTTTGTCCCTTCACTCTTGTTTCTCCCAAGCAGAAGTTCAACCAGCCAGCGTCGGACCGTCTCCTCCCCGACCTCACACCCCAGGAGGCCCACGTGTACACGCTCGTGCCTCTTCCTAGAGGGCACCCTTGTGCCCACGCGTACACGCTCGTCCCTCTTCCTAGAGGGCACCCTTGTGCCCACGCGTACACGCTCGTCCCTCTTCCGAGTGGAAGAGGGACTGCGGGTGACTTTTGAGAGGATGTACACGCTCGCGCTGGCCCTTTCTCAAAAGTCGCACGTTCAAGCAACCGGGCGCCGAGGCGTTTCTGGAGAGGATGTACACGCTCGCGCTGGCCCTTAATGTTCTCCCTTCCCCCCCCACTCTTCTTGAGCAGAAGTTCATCCAGCCGGCGTCCGACCGCCTCCCACCCGACCTCACTCCTCAAGAGGCGCATGTCTATACACTGGTGCTGGACTTGGAGGGAACCCTCGTGCACTCCGAGTGGAAGAGGGACCGTGTCTGGCGCACGTCTATACACTCACACCGGCCCTTACTGTTCTCCCTCTCCCTCTTCCTTTTCCACCCCTCCCTGCGCGCTGCAAAGGGCAGAAGTTCAACCAGCCGGCGTCCGACCGCCTCCTACCCGACCTCACTCCTCAAGAGGCGCATGTCTATACACTGGTGTTGGACTTAGAGGGAACCCTCGTGCACTCCGAGTGGAAGAGGGACCGCGGGTGGCGCACGTTCAAGCGGCCGGGCGCAGAGGCGTTTCTGGAGAGAATGGCGCAGTTCTTCGAGGTGGTGGTGTTCTCCGACCAGCTCAATTTGGTGGGTGCCTCCCTGGTATGGAAGTAGCATTGACTGACCCATGACTGCATCACGATCCGAGGACAGAGCGCCAGTGCGGGCACTAGGTCCTCTCCAGAGGCGTTTCTGGAGAGGATGGCGCAGTGCTTCGAGGTGGTGGTGTTCTCGGACCAGCTCAACCTGGTGAGATGCGGTTGGGTACTAAACAGCACAACACAGTAGGCGCTTCTGGGGCTTCCTGGCATCAGGTGGGGGGGAGCAGCGGTGTGTCTGGAGAGGATGGCGCAGTGCTTCGAGGTGGTGGTGTTCTCCGACCAGCTCCTCAACCTGGTGAGTTCAGATGCGGGTATTTGAGGGTGTCTTCAAGCGCTTGTGGGAGTGAAGTGGCCTCCCTCCCTGGGAGTGCCGCAGCTCTTCGAGGTGGTGGTGTTCTCCGACCAGCTCCTCAACCTGGTGAGATGAGATGAGTTGATGCATGTCGGCCCAACAAAAGGACTTATCCACCTCTGGCACCACGTAGGCGAGCAGAGGCGTTTCTGGAGAGGATGGCGCAATTTTTCGAGGTGGTGGTGTTCTCCGACCAGCTCAACCTGGTGAGTCCGCGTGGTAGCAGGTTGGACACGATACAGCACAGTGCACGCTCCTGGGCATTCTCAAACTCTTCTGGGCGTAAGCAGGGCTTTCCAGAGGCGTTTCTGGAGAGGACGGCACAGCTCTTCGAAGTGGTGGGGTTCTCAGACCAGCTCGACCTGGTGAGACTAGGTGGCGGGATTACGAAGAATGAATCGAGTCTGGTTGGTGCATACGTGTGGTTGGTGCATACGTGTGGTTGGTGCATACGTGCGGTTGGTGCATACGTGTGGTTGGTGCATTGTCACCGAATACATTGATATGTGCAATATATTCAGTTACTCGCTAGTTGGGGTGTAGAAGGGTGTAGAAATGTGTCATGTAATGTTACCAAAGGGGTTGTTGGGTTTCAAGGGAGTGACGGGAAGTTGGTAGTAGTGGGAATTGCGAAGTTCAGAGGGGAGAGCTCAAGGGCCTCGAGGGACAGGGAATCAGCATTGGCCAATCCAAGGCCAGGGCGACTCGAGCCAACCCAGTTCGTCGAAGACACTCACGACCCGGGACAGGGCAATAAGTAGCCTAGGCTAGCCTTTGCCAGCTATAATGGATATACTTCACCGCACTAAGGCTACTGAAGCTAGGTGATACGCCACTGAGGGAAGCCATAGAGTGGGAGCAGGGATCTCTCTCAGTATGGGCTGAGGCCGAGGAGGGAAAGTATCACAGGAACAGAGCAGAGAGAAGAAGGGAGGGAGGATGAGTGCAAGAGCAGAAAGGAGGAGAGGACAGGCCATGAAGGGACAAGAGCAGGTAAGAGAGAGGATTCCGACAGCATACATTTGGTTGGTGCATCCGTTTGGTTGGTGCATACGTTCCAAGGCACAAAATAACGTTTGGTTGGTCCAAGGCACCATCACATGTGTGTAAAGAAGTGTTTTGGGACGTCTCAAAACACTTCTTTATGATTGAGGTGAGTCTGGTTGGTGCATTGGTTGGTCCAAGGCACCATCACATGTGTGTGAGCAATGCAATTCTTACTCTTTTCCTCCCTTCGTTGCCCACCTGTTTCAGTCGCCTTGACTCATGTTCGAAGGGCTGCAGTGGTTGAATGAACGCTTAGCAAAGGAACATCAGTGAAAGATTCAAGTGAAAAAACGCAGATCTGAAAAACCCTTCGTTGCCGACCTGTTTCAGTCAGTCGACCCCATATTGGACCGGCTATACCAGAAAGGGTGCATTTGCTACCGCTTGTACCGGGATGGAGCACTCTACACCGATGGGAAAAATCAATTTTTGAGTCAACTCAAAAATCGACTTATCACACACCGCTTATACCGAGATGGAGCACTTTACACTGATGGGAAAATTTGATTTTTGAGTCGACTACAAAAAGAGGCCTTATCACACACCGCTTGTACCAGGATGGAGCACTTTACACCGATGGGAAAAAATCCATTTTTTAGTTGACTAAAAAAAGAGGCCTTATCACACACCGCTTGTACCGGGATGGAGCACTTTACACCGATGGGAAAAAATCCATTTTTGAGTCGACTAAAAAAGAGGCCTTATCACACACCGCTTGTACCAGGATGGAGCACTTTACACCGATGGGAAAAAATCCATTTTTGAGTCGACTAAAAAAGAGGCCTTATCACACACCGCTTGTACCAGGATGGAGCACTTTACACCGATGGGAAAAATCCATTTTTTAGTTGACTAAAAAAAGAGGCCTTATCACACACCGCTTGTACCATATTGGACCGGCTGGACCAGAAGGGGTGCATTCGCTACCGGCTGTACTGGGGATGATGATAGGACCTATGGTTGAAATAACTGCTTCCTCCTTCCCTCTCCCGCCTTCTCCTCTCCCTCCCATCATCTCTCCATGTTTCAGTCCGTCGACCCCATATTGGACCGGCTGGACCAGAAGGGGTGCATTCGCTACCGGCTGTACCGGGACGGGACACTTTACACTGATGGGAACTACGTGCGGGTATGTATCCCTCCCTTCTACCCCTGATAAAACTATGCGGGCGCATGTTTTGCACTTTTTGAGGCACCAAAAAAATGTATCCCTCCCTTCTACCCCTGATAAAACTATGCGGGCGCATGTTTTGCGCTCAACTCTCAGAACAGTATTGGTGTTGTGGCGCATGAGAGTCACAACTCTCACAACATGAGTTGTGGTGCATATATTGGTGTTTCCATCTCTTCACTTCACACCAATCGTATCGCCTCGCCTTACACCTCGCATTCCCACCATTCCAGGACCTATCCAAGCTCAATCACGACCCCAACAAGGTCATCTACGTCAGCTCTCTGCCTGTCTCAGTGCGTCACAAGGAGCCTCAAGTCACCCCTAATGCGCTCACTCCCTGCCGTCGCTCCCACTCCCACCATCTCAGGACCTATCCAACCTCAATCGAGACCCAAACAGGGTCATCACCATTGGCTCTCTGACTGCCTCAGTGTGTCACAAGGAGCCTCAAGTCACCCCTAATGCGCTCACTCCCTGCCGTCGCTCCCATTCCTCTCTCCCATCAGGACCTACCCAACCTCAATCGAGACCCAAACAGGGTCATCACCATCGGCTCCCTGCCTCACTCGGTGCTCCCCTCCCTCCCTCTCGTGGCCTTTCTTCCGTCTCCCTTCCTCAATCCATTCCCACCAACCCAGGACCTATCCAAGCTCAATCGCGGTCCCAACAAGGTCATCTACATCAGCTCTCTGCCTCCCTCAGTGATGCAAAAGGACCTTCTAACACGCCTCCCTTCCTCTCATCCCACAGCCCTCTCATCCCACCGCCCTCTCATCCCACCAGGACCTACCCACGCTAGACCGGGATCCCAACAAGGTCATCTATGTCAGCTCTTCATCTCAATCAGTTCTGCAAAAGGTGTTTCATGTGCCTCAGTGCCCTCCCTAATCCCTACGTCATTCCTCCTCATCCTTCCCCTCTTCTCTCCTCCCATCAGGACCTCTCCAAGTTCAATCGCGGCCCAAACAAGGTCATCTACATCAGCTCTCTGCGGTAGTCAGCGCTTCAGAGGTGTTTCATGTGTCTCGGTGCTCTTCCTATTCCCTCTCCCCTCCTCCTTCCATCTCCCATCAGGACCTGTCCAAGCTGAATCGCGGCCCAGACAAGGTCATCTACATCAGCTCTCTGCGGCAGTCAGCGCTTCAGAGGTGTTTCATGTGTCTCGGTGCTCTTCCTATTCCCTCTCCCCTCCTCCTTCCATCTCCCATCAGGACCTGTCCAAGCTGAATCGCGACCCAAACAAGGTCATCTACATCAGCTCTCTGCGGCAGTCAGTGCTGCAGAAGGAGAATCTCGTCCCCCTGCTCGCATGGAAGGTGGTTCACACGCCCCATTGCCCTCTCCTTTCCCTCTTCTCCACCCCTGCTCCTACCAGGACCTTACAAAGCTCAATCGCGATCCCAACAAGGTCATTTACATCAGCTCTCTGCCAGAGTCAGTGCTTCAGAAGGAGAATCTCGTCCCTCTATCGGCATGGAAGGACACGGGAGCAGACACAGCTCTCCTAGACCTGCTGCCATTCCTCGAATGTGAGTGACCCTGCATGCTGTGAGTCATGAGCAGCTCTCATGTGAGAATGCCAGTTGGTGCTTCAGAAGGAGAATCTCGTCCCTCTATCGGCATGGAAGGACACGGGAGCAGACACAGCTCTCCTAGACCTGCTGCCATTCCTCGAATGTGAGTGACCCTGCATGCTGTGAGTCATGAGCAGCTCTCATGTGAGAATGCCAGTCGGTGCTTCAGAAGGAGAATCTCGTCCCTCTATCGGCATGGAAGGACACGGGAGCAGACACAGCTCTCCTAGACCTGCTGCCATTCCTCGAATGTGAGTGACCCTGCATGCTGTGAGTCATGAGCAGCTCTCATGTGAGAATGCCAGTCGGTGCTTCAGAAGGAGAATCTCGTCCCTCTATCGGCATGGAAGGATATGGGCGCAGACACAGCTCTGCTGAACCTGCTGCAGTTCCTCGAGTGTGAGTTGGAGAGCAATGATTGCTCTAAAATGCCAGTGAATGCTGCAGTCAGTGCTTCAGAAGGAGAATCTCGTCCCTCTATTGGCATGAAAGGACACGGGTGCAGACACAGCACTGCTTAACTTGCTTCCCTTCCTCGAGTGTGAGTGCCTGCCTGCATGCCGTAAGTCAGCACTGTGAGTGTTGAGTTGCTTTAGAGGGAAAATCTTTTAGAAGGAGTTTCCCTGTCTACTTGTGCTGCAGCACCACCTGTGTTACTCGATCTCCGGTGTGGCACGGCAGCGGCCGGCAGACATTCAGGTGGTGCTGCAATCGTATGAGGGGGGTGGGGGGGGGGGTGGGGGTGGGTCTCCATTTACTCTGTTGACTTTCTTGACCTGTAATGTCACCCCTACGTTACTCGATCCCCAGGTGTAGCACGGCAGCGGCCGGCAGACATTCGGGTGGTGCTGCAGTCGTATGAGGGTCAGGACATTCCCACGGCCTTTAAAGAGCGCTCTAAGCTCATGCAAAAGTGAGTGTAGTTCGTCATTCATAGAACTCTAGCGGCCAGCTTAGCAACAGTGCAATGAATATACTCTTCCGCTAGGTTCATAAGCTGGCCATATTTTTTAGCCAGTGTGACGTGTGTTGTGCATAACTTCAGATGTCACTGCCACCCTACTTTTGAGAATTCTCAAAAGAGATGTCACTGCCGCCCAACTTGTGCCGCTTCCCTCCACTTCACCTTGCCTCTCTTTGATATCGCTTGTTTGTGGGATGCGTTCAGGCAACTTCAAGAGAGGAAGCAGCATGGGATTTTCCGGTTCGCAAGGGGTGGGTCCTGAGGGTGACTGAATATGGGGAGGAGGGCTCTGTTGAAGAGGGGAGTAATGCAGGCTAAGAATTTGAAACAGTTGCATCCATTGGTGTTGTTATCAGTCGAGGATATCTGTTGCAGTTATGTGATTGAGATGGTACGGCAGTACCTTGATGTACTATTGTTTGTAGATTCACACAAGTTTTATTTTTTTGGAGATGTATAGCCCTTTTTGCGGAGACGGTGAAGGTCTCGATCTTAGGCCACTCCGGCCTGTAGCGAGTCTGGTGTTAACCCCAATCAACAGACTAACCAATATTTTTTTCCACCCGGTAGCTTCGTTTTGCCCCTGGTAGCGGGCTCGGTAGCGCTACCAGGGTGAGAGCTTCCCCCACGTGAGCTGACCAATGAATGGTTGGACTTGCTCGTACTTCTCATTGGCTGAGACTCGTAGATTTTGGCCAATCCCTGCTAGTTTGTGGGCAATAGAAACTTTTAGGGCAATGCTCATGAGGTGGTGGGCACATGCTGTAACCTGATTTTATTTTTGTCCCCCCAGCTTCACTGTGTGAAGCACTAAGCATTTTGATACAGAAAGTACTGTGCTTATCGGTATGCCTGACTTCACGATCGCATGAGTACAGTGCGTGCAAGAAGTCGCGTAACTTTTCCCAAATGGAAAAGATTCCAAACCATCCCGAAGATCCCAGCGGAATCAGGTCGACGGACCCGAGTTGCCGGTGTCGTCGAGGGGGGTCGACGGACAGGGGTCTGACGAGGCGGGCGAGTGACGCTCGTGCGGGCCCGCCAGCCTGGCCCTGGGCTGGGCCGGGCCATCCCGAACCAGCCATTATTGGTCGTGCGTCAAGCATCTTGCCACTGACTCGTGGGAGCAACTCAACGCAGCTGTGTCAACAAGGGCACGGCCGACTCAAATTCTGGGGACCTCCTATTTTCATTGGCTGTTGTGGTGTGCCATGTGCCAGACCAGTCAAGACGTATACACCCTGTTTCGCGCTAGCAGAGCATCTGGTTGCAGAACATGCACTGGTTGTAGAACGTCACCACGTTTGAAATGGTCTTATCACCGACGGTACAAGCACATTCACAAGAAAGCGGTTAGCTAGGATGCTGCATGGTAAAGAACATTAACCAAGCGTTTCAAAGCGGTTGAAAAGGGTATACAGCGATAAAGAAAAATTTTGCCCCCAGTACCACTCCGTCAGCTGGTGCGGCTTTGCCCGCAGGTTTCAGCCATACGGTTTATGGCACCTGACCGCACTGTAGCAGCGAATCGCGCAAGGTGAGAGGGTCGAGAAACAGGGTGTACACCATAACTTTGGTTCGGATGAAGGCTACCGTTTTCCAGTCGGGGCGAGGCCTACATTTAAAACAAGGCTCGGAGTTTCGTCCACATCCAGCTCACCTGCTGCACTCAATGCTGAGCCTTACTGGAAGCACGTTGTCTCTCTGCCTCTTTCTCCACTCACCACGGAAAACAGCACCCAGATTACAGTCCTGCTTCGTTTATCGCAACCGTCGATCACACACTTATCGGGCTGTCATCTGGGTATCTCGAAAGATTACCACATGCCTAGTTGAATTCCCACTTTTCTATTATGGAGATGGTGGCGAAAACCTTATTTCTATTCCGTCCATCCCAGAGAAGTTTACATCTCCCCGCATGAGCCTTAACTGTACCAACAAATCTCGTACACGTACAATATTCAACAAATTCAAAAACATTCTGAAGACGAGATACCTTACAGTACCAAGAACTGTAGCTCGTGTGGTGGGAAATGGGGTGGGAAACCTCGCACATTGAATCTTTCTCACCCGGCAAGCACGAAGGTGGTGAGTGTACAAACGATTGTGCTTTCTTGTTTTCGGGCTTTGCGCGTGTAAATGCCGCCTTTGAAAAACTTTGAATTTTGTCAGCCATCCCAAACCCAAGAAATGACTCTTCACAGACAAATATGAGGCTGGGAGAGAAACAGCGGGTGGCCCTACCTAGAGCTGCTGGCTGGCTGGTTTGCAGCACAGATCAGCCGGAGGGTGGAAATATCTCGAGAAATTATGGTCCGTATCCACACATTCAATGAACAGTGCTCCTCCATTTGAATAACCAAGAACGTCCCCGTTTGATTCATCGCCAGTGCCATAGGAGGCGAAGAGCAAAGAGCGCGCGCGAGTTGGCCTCGCATTGGACAAATACATTCACCGTAGCTGTCACTCTGTAAGGTGAGTAGATTTTTCTCAAATAGTAGTTCTCAAATAGTAGTTATTGCTGTTAGGATGGTGCATGTCCGTCGTCATGACATATCGCGGCACTGGGTTACCCAACAATTCTGCGACCTTTTTGGACAGCATGCGCACTTATCCTTTTTTCAGTCAGGAAAGAAGAACTCAGTTTTGCGAACCTAAGACTGCGAACAAATCCTGCTAGTAAAAGTTGTGATGTGGCCTGTTACATAGCAATGTCGACCAACAGATACTTTTTTCTGATTGGTAATCAACACGTGGTATCCTTGTGCGTATCCTACGAAGTAACTCTATGGAAACAATTCGACCCCACGAATTTTGAGACGTTTATCGTTCTAAGTTTGACCTACGGTGACTGGTAAGACCGAGTGTATGAAGCACCCTCTAGGGGCATGTGTTCCGAGCCACTACGCAGTAGTAAGAGCAACCAGGTTGTACTATAGAGCACCTAATTGATATGATCAGAGTCTGATAGGAAAACCCGAGCCGGCAGAACATGCGCTCAACGCTCAGAATTCTTGGATTTTCTAGAGATCTCCCAACGGCTGCTCACAGGCCACGTAAGAAATATAGACTCGTTCATTAACAGCTACGATAAGTCACAGAGGGCTGATGCCACGAGCTGAAAGTCTCAGTGTATAGTAGAAGTTCCCGAATCTCCTGAGATCTCTTGAGATTGTTCATAGGCGATTTAATAAATGTGAAATTGCTCACTGAGAGCTAAGATTCAAACGTCACGGCAAGCTCAGCGTCACCTTTTGATAAAAACCCAGGCTGGACTTGGGAGAACTGAGAGCAGCAGCTCCTGCTTAACGTCCTACTTCACCTTCTCTCAGATATCCCAACGGAATCCCGAAGGCTCCAGTAAATGATCCAAGCCGCCATAATCTGGCAGCAGACGTGACCTGGCAGCAGATTTGATCTGGAACCGAAGCAGATGCGATTTGGAAGCAAAGCAGACGTGATTTCGCGGCAAATGTGATCTGACATCGCACGTGGCCTGCTATCATCTGGAATCAGCTGTGTAATTTACCCATCATTTGGCGGCAGTTGTGATCCGCAAGCAAGCAGCAGTAATCTGGAGACTGGAATCTACATCCATCCACCTTTGCTCCGCATTCTGCCTTCCCCAGTTGGACCTACATCGCTTGCTAACTCCTTTATCCTACAGACAGAGCAAGGAAGCGGCTCGCCTACCGAGGGGAGCCAGAACAACCTTGGTAAAAGGCAGCAGCAGTTAACCCTACACCAGCCTCCCCCGGATGGGGGAAGATAACGCACTGGACAGGGAGAGCGACGGAGTTGCTGTGAATATAACGTTTGAAGAGGGTGCATAAGAAGGAGCTGAAGCGACTACAACAGGAGCTACATTGGATGGGGCAGGAGCTGAAGGCTATCAGACAATCATAGGTAATTGTCAAGTGATCCTTCAGGTGATACTTCAGGTGACCCCGTCAGATCTTGTGTAATTTAAGAGACCATCCCTCAAGTGGTCCTTCAGGTGCTCCTTCAGGTGGTTCGTCAGGTGATCCTTCAGGTGGTTGGATGATCCTTCACGTGGTTCGTCAGGTCATTCTTCAGGTGGTTCTTCAGGTGATTCTTCAGGTGCTCCTTCAGGTGGTCTTCAGGTGGGTGTGATACTTCACAGGGATCTGCATCACGTGAGCTGACAAATTGATTACTTCAACTGGGAAGGAAGCCTTATTTCATCATTTTGTCATTAAGCTGATGTCGCTCTTGCTCTGCTGTTCGAATCTGATGTGTTAACGCTCCTTGCTCATTCCCCCTCCTTTCCCTATTTTCCATTCTTCCTGCTCTTGGAATGGCTTATCCAGCTGTATTCTGAGACTTTTGAGGCGCCTCAAATAGCCTTCTCCTTCTCCTTTCCACATTTTCCGTTATTCCAGGCCCTAGAATGGCTTACCCAGCCATGTTCTGGCAGCACCAGGAGCACCGACCAGGAGCATCAGGAGAAACATCAGGAGAAACACCAGGAGGAACAGTAATGCCAGCAGTGCTGCCGCGAGCAGTACCGCTGCTGCAAACACTGATGCAGCCACCAGGAGAAGCAGCAGCAGGCGCAGCAGGATCAGCAACATCAGCAACACCACCAGCAGCAGCGGCAGCAGCAGCAGCAGGAGCAGCAGCAGCAGCAGGAGCGGTGGGAGCAGCAGCAGGAGCAGGAAGCATGGGGCCTCCACCACTTCAGATCTACGCTTATTCCCCCGCTTCCTCCTACGGGACCCTCCCCTCCCTCATTCCCTCTCTCCCTCCCTCGGGCGTCATCCCTTCTCCTTACTTTGCCCCAGGCTTACCCCATTCTATTGTATATCCGGGGAATCTCAGCAATAGCAGCAGCACGGGGGGGAGGTCACTGGTTTATCCGGGAAACCTCAGCAATAGCAGCAGCACGGGGGGGAGGTCACTGGTTTATCCGGGAAACCTCAGCAATAGCAGCAGCACGGGGGGGAGGTCACTGGTTTATCCGGGAAACCTCAGCAATAGCAGCAGCACAGGGAGCATTGGGCGCAGCTACAGCAGGGGAGGCGGGGAGGGAGGCGAGGGAGGGAGAGGAGGGGGAGGAGGAGGAGAACAGAGGAATAGCAGGAGCTTCAACGAGAGAAGAGGGTTTGAGATGGGAGGCGGAGGAGGAGGAGGAGGAGGAGGTGGTGGTGGTGGCAGTAGCAGTGGTGGTGGTGGTGGTGGTGGTGGTGGTGGTGGTGGGGGTGGAAGAATGAGGGAGGATTGGGATGCTTCAGGGAAGCTTCCGCCAGTGTACCCACAGCGGCCTGGGGAGCAGGAGTGTGCGTATTACATGCGGACAGGCAGCTGTGCGTATGGGCCTAGGTGCCGCTTCAACCACCCTCCCAGGTTGGAGGTAAGCATGCCCCTCAGTAAGGGAGCAGGAGAGTGCTAACAGGACAGGAGTGTGCGTATTACATGAGGACCGGGAGCTCTGCGTATGGGCCTAGGTGCCGCTTCAACCACCCTCCCAGGTTGGAGGTAAGCATGCCCCTCAGTAAGGGAGCAGGAGAGTGCTAGCAGGACAGGAGTGTGCGTATTACATGAGGACAGGGAGCTGTGCGTATGGGCCTAGATGCCGCTTCAACCACCCTCCCAGGCTGGAGGTAAGAATGGGAAGCACGCTGAGTAGGCAAGATTCTGAGCAGGAGCTTGCGTGTTGCATGCGGACCGGGAGCTGTGCTTATGGATCCAGGTGCTGGTTTAGCCACCCTCCCAGACTAGAGGTAAGCTTGTTGTTGTGAGTCGCTCAACCTAGGCAAGCATGTAACGGCCGAGGGAGCTGGAGCTTGCGTGTTGCATGCGGACGGGGATCTGTGCTTATGGATCCAGGTGTTGGTTTAGCCACCCTCCCAGACTAGAGGTAAGTATGTTCTGAGTCGACTCAAAGGCAGAAGTACCACAGCGGCTGAGGGAGCAAGAGCTTGCGTGTTGCATGCAGACCGGGAGCTGTGCGTATGGGCCTAGGTGCCGCTTCAACCACCCTCCCAGGGTAGAGGTAAGATTCGTGTCAGTCGCCTTAAAGCAAGTATGAAGCGGCCGGGGGAGCCGGAGTGGGTATGCTGGGTGTGACTGGGTGGGGTCAGGAGTGTGTGCGTATTACATGAGGACCGCGAGCTGTGCGCATGGGCCCAGGTGCCGCTTCAACCACCCTCCGAGACTGATAGAGGTAAGAATGTAGGTGTGTGCGTGCAGGAGTGTACTAGACTGCTAGAGGTAAGATTCGTGTCAGTCGGCTTAAAAGCAAGTGTGAAGCGGCCGGAGGAGCCGGAGTGTGCATGCTGGAACTGGGTGGGGGAGCAGGAGTGCGAGTATTACATGAGGACGGGGAGCTGTGCGTATGGGCCTAGGTGCCGCTTCAACCACCCTCCCAGGTTGGAGGTAAGGGTGTTGTGAGGCGGCTCAAAGGCAAGTATGTAATTGCGGGGAGAGCAGGAGTGTGCATTCAGGAGTGTGCGAGCAGGAATGCGCGAGCAGAAGGAATGTGCGTATTACATGCGGACGGGGAGCTGTGCGTATGGGCCTAGGTGCCGCTTCAACCACCCTCCCAGGTTGGAGGTAAAGCCTCCTGATGCCTTGCCATGCCATCATCCCATCTCGTCATGTGCTAACCCATTCCAACCCATCCCATCCCCACCCATCCCATCCCATGCCAGGCGATGCAACCGCTGCTCCCATCCACGCCGTACCCGCAACGACCGGGGCAAACAGAGTGCAAGGTGAGCCTCCCGCTGCTCCTTCCATTCTATTCACATGCCATCAAGTAAGCCTTCATTATAGGCCAACCAGTCAGCGCAACTGCCGCTCCCAGCCACGCCTTATCCGCAACGACCGGGGCAACCAGAGTGCAAGGTGAGCCTCCCGCTGCTGTCTCTATTCACATGCCATCGCATGCCATCACATGCCATCACATGCCATCACATGCCATCACATGCCATCACATGATCACATGCCATCACATGCCATCACATAGGCGATTCAACGAATTCACATATGTCTCCCTCAAGACTGGCACCTTCCACGTGTAATGAGTCTGCTTTTAAGTTGACTCAAAAGCTGAGCCTCCTGCACCTTCGACCACCCTCCGCTCGCCACAACGCCTGCTCACCCTCCTGCTAACTCTTCCCCTCGTCTTGAAAATCTCCCGATCCCTCTCCCCGTCCCCCCCCCCCCCCCCCCACTTTTTCCCCTTCAGTACTATCTCAAGACTGGCACTTGCAAGTATGGACCCTCCTGCACCTTCCACCACCCGCCGCTACTCGCCGCAACGCCCGCTCATTTTTCCCCTCTCCTTGCAAATCTCCCATTTTCTCTCTCCCTCCCCTCCTCCACTTCCCCTTCAGTACTATCTCAAGACTGGCACGTGCAAGTACGGTCCCTCGTGCACCTTCCACTACCCACCACACGCCTCACCAGCTGATTGAAGAAGGGTTTTGAGACGTCTCAAAACCCTTCCACTACCCACCACACGCCTCACCAGCTGATTGAAGAAGGGTTTTGAGACGTCTCAAAACCCTTCCACTACCCACCACACGCCTCACCAGCTGATTGAAGAAGGGTTTTGAGACGTCTCAAAACCCTTCCACTACCCACCACACGCCTCACCAGCTGATTGAAGAAGGGTTTTGAGACGTCTCAAAACCCTTCCACTACCCACCACACGCCTCACCAGCTTCATCACGTGCTAACATCCCTCCCATGCACCTCCTTCCCCACTCTCCCCATCGCCCTTCCCCCAGTATTATCTCAAGACCGGCACTTGCAAGTATGGGCCCTCCTGCACCTTCCACCATCCGCCGCTACTCGCCTCAGCACCTGCCGGATCTTCCCACCTGCCTCTCAACGCTCTCGGCTACCCCCTCAGACCGGTATGCACCGCACTGGTATGTTTTAGAAACTTTCCTTCACCCACATCTCGATGTCCGCAGCTAACCCCTCGGACCCGTAAGCACTTTGTTCGTTCCCCTGATCTACCCTACACCCTTCCGCCCAACAGCAATTCCCCACACTCCCACCGTCTTCCCTTCCTGCCTCCCCTTGCTTCCACCAATGATATCGCACTTCCCTGTATACCTTTCTGATCTGTGTTCTGAGTCGACTCACAACACGACCCTGTGTGCCTTTCTAATCTGCTCCTTTCATGACTTTTGAGCCAACAGAATAGCCTCCCCCCTTCCCCCTCCCTTGCATGGAGCGATGTGGTTACCTTAGCTGCCTTGAAAGTGGACTCACTCTCACCTCCTCCTCCCCCCCTCCTTCCCCTCCTCCTCCACTCTTTCCCACACAGGGCGAGACAGGAGTGCGCTTTTTTCCTTCGAACAGGACGGTGCAAGTTCGGAGCAACATGCAAGTTTCACCACCCCAAGAAATCCCCCTCCTCCATCCCTCTCTTTCCCCATCACCGCCACACACAGGGCGAGACAGAATGCGCCTTCTTCCTTCGAACGGGGCGGTGCAAGTTTGGAGCAACATGCAAGTTCCATCACCCCGACCTACACACGCCCCCGCTACAACCAATCGGCCTACATCCCTCCCAGCAGCATCCTTCCCAGTTGCTGCAGGCGCCGATGGGGCTGCATCCCTCACAGCTACATCCTTCTCCCCAGCTCCAGAGTCCTCTTGGTCAACAGCCGTCCCAGCAGCATCCCTCCTACCAGTATCCCTCCCAGCTACAACCGTCCCAGCTACAGCCGTCCCAGCAGCAGCAGGTGCAGGTGTTATACCCTGGAGGAGCAAACACGGCAGAAGCAGAGGAGGCAGTTAAGCAACAGGCAAGCAGCATCGTTCCTGGGGAAGCATCCAGGAAGGAAGAAGCAATCATTTCTGCTGATGATGCGGCTGCTGCTGATGCTGGTGAAAACCCAGGTAAAAACTCAGGTGAAACGTCAGGTGAAAAGCTAGGAGAAAATTCAGGTCAAATTTCAGGTGAACTGTCAGGTGAAAGTTCAGGTGGAATGGCAGAGGGCCCAGATGCAGCTGCTACCAGCTCTAGACGGGGAGCAGGTACTGGAGCAGCAGCAGCCGCAGGAAGGGGTGAAACATTGCAAGGCCATCTGAACCAGGAAAGCCCAGAGAGCGTGGCTAGAGAGTCAGGTGGGGAAACAGATGGGAAGGCTGGGGGGAATGATTGTCAAAAGCAAGCGGTGAGTGATGTGGCTGGGCCAGAAGGGGGTGAGGTAGGTGTTGTTGTGACTAGGCCAGCAGGGGGTGAGAGGACTCACGGGTCTGGTGTTGAGACGACTCAGACGCAGGGGAGCAAGGCACAGGGGCAGAGGAAGAAACGGCAGCAGAGGCTGCAGTACCAGCAGCAGCAGCAACAACAGCAGCAGTATCAGCAGTATCCGCAGCAGTATCAGCAGCAATACCAGCAATACCAGCAACAGTATCAGCAGCAGTACCAGCAGCATTACCACCAACAGTATCAGCAATACATGCAGCAGCCACAATATCAGCCGAACCAGTCTCAACCCCAGCCCCTACCCCCTCCCCATCCCCAGCATCAGTACTACCAACCCATGCAGCAAGGGGGTGGTGGGGGAGGAGGGGGCGGCAGTGCGGGAGGTGGGGGAGGTGGGGGAAGTGTAATACCTAGTCCCAGCCCAAATCAAACAGTCAGCATGGGTGTGGGTATGGGCATGGGCGTGGGCATGGGCACAGGTACGGGCATGGGACTAGGATATGCAGGCGCATCAGAGATGCTTTCCTCATATGCCGCATCCCCAGGTCCCTACATGACGTCATCAGGCCCTTACATGACGCCACCAGGGCCCTACATGACCTCATCATCCCCTTACATGACGTCATCATCAGCTTCCAACACGACGTCATCAGCCCCATACATGACGTTATCAGGACCCTACATGACGTCAGCATTCCCCTACGCATCCTCAGTTGCCCCTTATCCTCCATACCCCCACCACCCTTCTCAATACCCGCACCACCCCCAGTATCCTCCTCACTATCCTTACTACCCTCAATACCCTGCCACTAATCCCTCTGCAGGTACTTCTTTCGCTCCTGCTCCTGCTCCTGCTCCTGCTCCTGCTGTTCTTCCTCCCTCTACTCTTCCTCCTGCTCCTGCTCTTGCACCTCCTCCCGCTGCCCCACTTTTCCCGCCTCCTTGGCCTGCTGCTCCTCCTCCTGATCCTTCTGCTGCTCCTGCTGCTCTTGCTGCTGCTCCTTCTCTTGCTGTTACCTTTGCTCCTCTTGTTGCTCCTCCTGCTTCTCCTCCTGCTGCTCCTTATGCCCCTCCTCTTGATGCTTCTCGTAGTGCTGCGACTGCCTCTGCTCATCTCTTCTCTCTAGTGGTCCCCCATGCCGTCCTCCCACCAGCACCATCAGAAGCACCACCAGCACCAGCAGATGCACCACCAGCACCAGCACCAGCAGCAGCGCCAGCAGCGGTAACAGCAGCAGCGCCAGCAGCAGTAGCAGCAGCAGCAGTAGCGCCAGAAGCAGCATCATCAGCAGCAGTGCCAGCAGCAGCAGCAGGTTGCCCGAACCTGCCAGAGAGGCTCGGACAACCGGTCTGCCAGTACTACATGCGGACTGGGACGTGCAGGTTCGGAGGATCATGCCGGTACCACCATCCAAAGAAGACGGCAGCTTCTGATGAACACAAAAGCTAGAAACGGCCTTTGAGGCGCTTCAGGAGGCAGGTTCGGAGGCAGGCTCGGAAGCAGGTTCGTAGTCAGGTTTGGAGGATCGTGCCAGTACCACCATCCAAAGAAGCTCCCAACTTCTGAAGAGCACCAAAGTTAGAAACACCTGCCGAGCCTACCCCAGAGGCCTGGACAGGCAGCATGCTGGTATGGTAAGTGTGGTTCCGGACGTGCAGGTTCGGAGGATCATGCAGGTACGGCACCACTCCCATCGGAGATGGGGAAAGAGTCTTATCAACACCCAAGTCTGGCAGTTACTGGGATGGTGGGGAGGGGATAAGCACTATAAATGCAACTTGTGCTGGAAATTTAGAGTGCTTCTTTGAGTGTAGGATTAGAGGGCATGTCTGAGTTTAGGAATGATATGCGTAGGGATTGTTGAAACAACCGAAAGGTTATATAAAGCATTCCTGAAGCTGCCCCACTGCATCAGTACCGCAATAGCTCATATAGAGCATGCGGAATGTCGAGGGTCACCCGAAGGTCAACCGTTTGAGGAAGTCAATGGTCGTGATCTTTGACGATCCAGTAACCGCACAACAGTTACTTCACTGCAACATGGTAACTGTCGAGGATAGCAATAGTCGCGGTTACTGTAGCTATGCAATACAGTTAATAAGGGAATGTATCCCTCATAATACATGGCTAGCTAGATTTCTATTTAATCTCTTGTACTCCTATCTTTCAAATCATCTTGTTCTCTTTCAATTATTATACAACAAGGTCACTATGGAGACTTCATTGTCTCCTCTCAGACTTGACAGATCCTATCCTATCTACTGGATCATTTGGTTGTATCAATATGGTATGAGAGCCAGAGTGGATTATAGGATCTGCCAAGTCTTCGTTCTTCTCAGAAGTTATTTATTACACCTCAAAGTCTGCAATACTATGGCTCCTGAAGGAAAAGCTACTGCAGACTCACCGGGCCCACCACCAGCAACGACTAACGCGCCCTCAGCGGTGACCTCCGTCAGCGCCGCTATCGTTGAGCTAGTCGCCACAAGAGATTGAGGTCATCGGCGCTGAATACAGTTACTTCAGAATCCCCATAACGGACTCCCAGTTCGGGAGTGGCCCAACCAGTGCCTGCTCGTTACCGGAGACCAAGTCGAAGCCGGCGACACCGACGACATCATCGGTATTCCCCGCGCGCTTCTGGAGCGAAAAGCAATCCGCGCGCTTGCCGCCGATACCGACAACGCCACTGACGCAGGACCTGAAGGGGAGGCAAACGACGAAGCAGCGCCACAAAAATATTATCAGAAGACAGTCGGTTACCGCGCGGACCCAGGAACATGGCACCAACGGCTCGGACATCCCTCCCACGCAACGCTCAAAAACTCGCTCAAAGTCGGAGTCTTCGACAACGAAGCACTCCTCCTTCCACGAGACGGTTCCCTAACCGCGGACTCACCTAACCCGCCGTGCATCGTCTGCCCAACCGCGTCGCTCAAACACCAGCCGTTCCCCGATTTGCCCCCAGGGTACGAACGCTACAAGCCGCTGGACAAGGTTTACAGCGACTTTATGGTGCTCAGCCAGGAAGGGCTCGACGGGGAACAGTACACACTTACCTTCATCGACGCATCTACGCGTTACGTCTAAGCCGTCAACACCGACGACAGATCACTGGCCTTCGAGTGCTTCATTGCGTGGATGAAGCGAGCCGAGCGACAGTCCGGTCTAAAACTCAAAGCCTGGCAGACGGACGGAGCCCTGGAGTTCTTCTCAGACGAGTTCAAAGAGCTCTTCAAATAGAAGGGGATTGCGCACCTGGTGTCCCTGCCCTACGCTCACCAAAAGCAAGGAGTAGCAAGACGGACAAACAGAAGCCTCGCCATGCGGAGGAGGGCTCTGATGAAGCAGTCGGCCATCCCAACAAAATATTGGCCGTTTGCGATGAATCACGCTGTCCGGCTGCACAACTTGTTGTCCTCACGAAGCTGACGAGAAGTGAGAATGGAATGGATGAACTATGAAACAGTTGGGTACAAGTACTAACCCTAATTGGGTTGTACCCCTTATGGGCTACTCCACTACAGCCTACACAAATGTATAAGCTATAATGTTATGACACACCCCCATAGGCAAAGTGGGGGAGAACAAGTGGTCACAAGACCAGTCAAGCAAAGCAAAGCAAAGCAAGCAAGCTCAGGGTGGATCACAAAGTCACCACACATTCCGAGCACAAGAGTAAGGCCACAAGGCCAGTTCACATGCAGGAGTTCATATATATAAAGGTAAAACAAGCAAGGGCAGGTATAGAAATAAGACAGTACAAACAAGATCAAGAAGTGAGCAAGTGAGGCCAGGTAGGCACAAGACCTAGCACAGTACAGAAGCGCTGATGATCACAAGGCGGAAGGGCCTTGGTGAAGATATCAGCAGTGTTGGCCTCAGAGGCCATGTAGGTGAGGCGGAGCTGACCACGCTGCTGCAGCTCACGAGACAGGAAGTAGCGGAGAGCAATGTGCTTCGTTCTGTGCTTCAGTCTGTGCTCCCGACACAAGGCCAGCATGGCCTTGTTGTCTACGTACAGAACCGGAGGAGAACGAGGCGGCTCTCCTAGGTCAGTCAGCAGGTAGGTGAGCCAGCGTAGCTCCTGTGCAGCCATGGCCCCTGCGTAGATCTCAACCTCACAGCTGGAGCCGAGAACAGAGGACGAGCGGGTAGACCGCCACGAAACAGAGCCGGAGCCAAGGCTGAAGGTGTAACCCTGTGACGACCGCTGCGTAGCCTGGTCGTCAGCCCAAGAAGCGTCAGCGTGACCTGTGAGGACTACTCGACGTCGCCCTCCAAGCACTAGCCCCATGCCCGACGTACTGCACACGTAGCACAACACCCTCTTCGCTGCAGCCATGTGCTCTGGTCGGTGTCTCCTAGGAGCAACATAGTGTGCCAAGATGCTAAGAGGGTATGCAAGGTCAGGTCGTGTGCAGGTCATCAGGTACATGAGGCAGCCAACAAGCTCTGGGTACGGGCCACTCAACTCTACGGACTCATCCGAAGGCAGAGCTGAGAGCGAGTGGCGAGTAGACAGAGGAGTGGCCTGAGGCGAGGAGTACGTGAAGCCGAAGCGCTGAAGGACCTGCTGCACCATGTGTGACTGAGTCAGGGTAATGGTGCGCTGTGCTCTGTCCCGGGTGATCTGCAAGCCAAGGTAGCTGCGCAGTTCACCCAGGTGTGTCTCTTCTGCAGCTCGGACTTCACGTGGGCGAGTCCAGCAGTGTCAGCAGTGGCAAAGACCAAGTCGTCGACGTACACGAGGATGTAGAACGGCGGCAAAGAGGTGTCGGTGCGTAGAAACAGCGACGGGTCGGCTGTAGAAGGAGCAAACCCAAGAGCCGCAAGTGTAGTCCTCAATGTGTCGTGCCACTCACGGGGCGCCTGGCGAAGACCGTAGACTGGCCGCCGGAGGCTCCACTGGGTGCCAGGAGGAAACGACCCAGTGAAGCCAGGAGGGCGACGCAGCCAGATCTCCTCGTGCAGGCTGCCCTGCAGGAAAGCAGTGCTGAAGTCAACAGAGTGAAGCTCGTAGTCGCGCTGAGCGGCTATGTGCAGCAGCACCCGAAGAGTGGTCATCTTCGGGGTGGGAGAGAAGGTATGAAAGTAGTCAACTCCCTGCCGCTGACTGAAGCCTCGAGCCACGTAACGCGCCTTGAAGACAGGCGGAGAGCCCGGCGGTCGCTTCACCCTGAAGATCCACATCCCACTGACGATGTTCGCCCCAGGTGGGGGAACCTCATCAACGTAGGTGCCTGTGGACTTCCAGGAAGCCATCTCTGCGTCCATGGCCGACTGCCACTGAGAGGAGTAGGGACCCTCGATCGCCTCAGCGTACGATCGAGGAGTCGGGATGTCTGGTGCATCCGGGTCTCCCGCAGGGGCAATCATCGTGGACACGAGATGGGGCAAAGCAGC